TTCGCCTCTGGGGCCCGGGAGCGCACACGCGCGGTGGCGGGGCTTCCCGGAGAAACGGGGGCTGCTTGTCACTTGGAGAGATACAATATTTCCTTTCTAAACAAGCGTACCTAATTTAAAACCACGACTTAAAGGCAGATATTAAGGAAACAGCCGCATGGGTGTGGCAGGCGACGGACGGCTCCAGATCCCAGCCCCGGCCCTGATCCCAGAAGCCCGCAGCGCAGCGGGCCCCAGGGTGGGGGCGGAGTGGCCTCAGCGTCCTTCCCCAGGAACCCAGACGCTTGTGCACGTGCCTGGCCAGACCGCAGGACGGTCACAGCAGGGCAGAGGGCAGGCGTCTGTGGTAGCCTTAGGCCCCAGGGGTCCTGCGATTCTCTCAAAGGGCATATATGACCTCAGTTGTATTTCTTCACCTGCTCAGACACCCAGTCTGGGTAGGAGCTGGGGAAAGTGTCAGGCCCAGTCCATGCCTCCAAGGACAGCCCAGCCAGGCCCCCAGGCTCCTGACAGGGTGGGGGCGCTGGGTGCTGTGTGTACAGAAAACAGCCCTCCCTGGAACATCTCCACCTGCCAAGGATCCCACCTCCGGTGCTACAAACTCAGCCGGCCTCTGGAAGTCCTGTCCCCTTCCTGAGAGGGAGGAGGGGCCACCTCCTACATTAGGTTTCTCCCCAAACATCCCCTATTCCCCTCCAAGCCCCCAGGCAGGTGTCTGCACCCTGGGAGCCCTCCACGTGGCCCAGCTCCACGTGCAAGCCCACACCTGTACCCACAGGGGCCACCTGGGGAGTTCCCTCACCGCCCTTTTCGGAAGCTGGGCCAGGAGATAATTGTTTTATGACCCCTCAGTAGCTGCCCTCCCTTCCCCACCCTCAGAAGTGCAACTCATCTGCCCCAAGTTGGGGCCTGAGGCCCTGAACTTCTGTGACTCATTGGCCAGGACCTTGGACCAGTAAACTACAGCTCCTGGTCTTGGCAAACAGCTCCCTCCCAGGGCTGAGTGGGTCCCAGGCAGGACTTGTGTGGGTAAGGAGGCCCTGGTTCTCCCCTGCGGGGGCCCAACACGGACTCTTCAAGGTCAAGGAATCAGATCTGGAGACAGAGCCTCCATTGCAGGTGGGAGACCTCACCCTCACTGAGGTGGGGGCACCCCCCAGTCTCTGGCTATCCCCCACCCCCGAGCACCACTCCCATCTGTGCCCCCAAATGGGGCTCCTGGTCTCCCCTGCCAGGCCCAGGGGTTTGGGGCCAGGGCAGGGCTTGTAGGCAGACTTCCCCAGGTCCCCAAATGGGGCTGAGTGTGGAGGGGCCTGGAGGGAGCCCCTCAGCCTCTCCCTGTCCCCTGTTCCGGGGGAATGGAGCTCTGCAGGATAGTTGGCTGTTAATCTTAATTCCCCCTCAGAGCCTGGCAGCTCCCGTGGGGATGGGAGAAGCAGGGCTGAGCCAGGGCCAGGGCCTCCAGGACAGTTGCCCAGGCCAGCTCAGCCTTCCAGCCACCAAAGGGACCACCACCCTCAGGTTGGGGGAGCACTTGGGGCTTCAGCACCCTGCGGGATGGACCCC